AGACAGAGGTCTTCCTGCCATCTACAACCCTAATGGAGTTGACATGGAATTTGCACGTCCAAAACATGGGTTCTGCTCTCCAACCAGCCACCACTCATCTCTCTCCTTGACAAGTGCATCACCTTACTGACAACTAGGAGGAAAGTCTTGGTTTGAAGCCCAGCCAATGCCAGCCGTCACATTCTACCAGGAGGCTTCATCTGCAAAGAAAGGTTCAGCTGCTTTCTAACAACCCATCATTATTCCCAGCACACATGTGCATGCACATGCAGGCACACGGTCCATCAGCTCACATGCACGCATGTCTGTCCTTTCAAGGTTATAACACCCTGACCCAGATGTGTGTGTGCATGGACAGTGGACAAAAGGGAAGAGAGTAGACCAAAAATAGCAAGAGGACAAGCCACCAAAAAACTGAGTACAATGCTATTTTCCCCCTGCCCCAACCTGTTCCTTGTCAAGTTGCTGACATGGCATTAGTAATAAGCACAGATGTGTAGAAACATGTATCCTCATAAAATCAGAGTGATGGTATGCTAAGCTTTTGTGCATTCTCAAGATTTCCTTATTCTACTGCAGAGTAAATCTTGTTAGAATCCCACCCCCCAAAATTCCCCAGCTTTATTTCAAATTTTTGCATACCACTTCCAATATATCTGGAATTCACAGTGCAATAAGGAAAAAAGTCACACAGGACTCAGCCCCAAGGAGCCTACAATCTAGAGTGCAATCTTCAGTGATCCTGCATGCAGTACACAGATGGTTCTTGTTGGGTTGCTTTCTAGTTGACAAGCACAGAGAACAATAAAATGTTCACATTACAAAGTCTGATGGACGGTGTGTGTGAGAGATAGAAGGCAGGTCTAGTAGCTATGTTTTACCTGAGATGGATAGTTTCAACCCTGAAAGTGACACTTATGTAATGACTCTTCCAAAACCAGAGGGGTTTGGAAGTAAAAACTGCATTGCTGGATTTGACCAAGGTCCATCTAGCCTCAGCATATCCTTTCCAAGAAGTTGCCTCACCAAGCACACTTCTTCATAAACCAAGTATAAAGGACATTGCATTCCTGTCCTTGTCTGCAGCACCCCCAGTACTCAGAAACCACTGAATCATGACAGACATCTGCAGCCTAGTGCCTCTTGAAGTAATTTGGGCTTCAGCTCCCACCACCCCAGCCAGCATGACCAACAGCTAGGAATTTAGGGTGTTGCTATCCGAAAGATCTGGAGGTCACCACAAGAGAGCAAGATGGTTTGGACAACTGATATTCCATTTCCAGAGGGTCCTACAGGTTTGTTTTGTTTATCTATTTATTAGATTCATATCCTGCCTTTTTTTCTTACAAAGAACTCAAAGCGGCTTACATCATTCTCTTCCTCCTGCTCTCCATGTTATCCCCACAACAATTCTATGAGATAGATTGAGCTGAGAGTCTGTGACTGGCCCAAAGTCACCCAGTTGGCTCCATAGCTCAGTGGGGACTAGAACCCAGATCGCCTCCTGAGTCCCAGTCCTGTGCTTTCAACCCATGCACCACACTAGTTCTCCTAATAATAAGATTGAGACCTGGTAGAATCTAGAACAGACTTCCTGTAGCTTGGGGGTAGAATACTTGCATGCACAAGGTCAGCGGAGACTGGTGGCCCCAGTGTCAGTGGAGTAAGTACCTACTCTGGATTGTACTACTTTGAATGCTTAGAGGACTATCCATGGTGGTACTGAACCTATTGGCAGGGCTCAGGGCAGGTTTCAGGACCATGGATAGCTCCTTCAAAGGTTGCACTCAAGCCCAACGACATTGGGACCACCAGCCTCCACTGACCCAGGGTAACTCCTGGTATTTGCAGTCAGATCAGGTAGCAGCTGATTGGGAATGCCCTACTTGAAAGCCTGGAGACCCACTGCCAGCCAGAATCCTAGCCTTGGTGAGCAGCGTGACCTGCTCTAAGGCTGCTTCCTATATAACCGAGGCACTTTAGAATGGAAACCTCAGTCCTGCCGTATCTGATTCTCTGCTGCTATTAAACCCTCTAGCCCAGTATTGAATGACAGCAGCTCTTCAAGGTCTTCCCCACTGCCCCCTGATCCTTTCAGTTGGAGTTGCTGATCGGCCATACCGATCAGACGTCTGCCAGCCACTGAGCTCTGTCACCTCCCTGCTGATTTCAGCCAGGAAGCTGTAAATGTTTAGGATCATGGGACTTCCACTGCAACACACCGGGATGTGCTGGGTCAAGGAAGGCTATTTTGGAAAATGCATCTTCAGGTTCATCAACCATTCATGCCTCAGCCTTTCCCTCGGAACAGCTCAAGGGCATTTCGACCAGGGAAGCTCCAGGGGTGGCCCTGGCATTCCCAGCTGGGGACTGATGGTACATGATGTCCAGGGAGTGCTGGAAAGCCCCAACTTGTACACGCCTAATTTAGTCCAGACCCCACCACCAGGCAAAATACGAGGACAACAGTAAGGGCAGGGAGATGATCAGGGCTTCTGATTTCCATTTGCAGCTTCCTAGAAGAGCCCCTGTAGAACAAGAACCTCCGGGAGAAAGGCCAGCCCATCCCCTGTTGAGTGAGCCTTCTGCCTGAAGTTTTACCAGATGGGGATGGGGGCATGCCAAATTGTGAACCCCACCAGCAGCGGCAGCCGGGAGAGTTTCAGTGCATTCCACCCCTCACCTCATCAGACTTTACCCGCAGATTAGACCTGTAACGCAGCAGTGGTGGCACTAGCCTTAGAAGGACCATTCCCACATCACACACCAATGCAAGGTGCTTAGCAACCAAAGGCTCAGCAACACTGGAGAAATGCAATTACACTGATGGAATGTGAGCTTTGTTGCAGGAAATTTGCTCCAGGAGCCATAGATGCCAATCCTGGAAAGGTAAGCTTGACACTTATGTTCAGCCAAAGTTTGCTACAATTATTTGAGAGACATCCTTTCCAAAACAAAAAAGGAGAGCTACCAAGAGATCCTTGACTCAAAGCAACACAGGAGTTATGATTGACAGGTGAGAAGCCACACCTGTTTGCCTATGGTGAGCAGAATCACTGCCCATTGACCAGGAAGGACCATTTCCTTGCAATGAAATGAATGTTGGACCTCCTTTTCCAAATGGGAACATTACACAAGTGACAAGCTTGCACAGGCAAATTAAGGAGGAGAAGGAGAAGTGTGGATGGGCTATTGGTGCACTTCTCTACTAAGTTGGCTTGTATACAAACTTTCTCCAAAAAATCCACCTAAGGAGTGCGTATTCTGCTGTCCAGGTGTCTGCCTACCTCCTGAGAAGTGGGGAGATGAGCCTCCTTCCCTTCAACCATCACTTAATCCAGCCAGGAAACTCACAACCACAGCCCTTCCTGCTTCCTCGAAGCAGTTCTCCCTTTCTCTACTCACCCACTACCTTTCTCTGGTTAACTTCTTGCAAGAAAAATCTCAAAGCCCCCCAGAGTAACTGCTGGCAACATTCAGTTGCTTTCCATGATGAGAATACAACATACAGTCCCCATTTGTGAGCTAATGTTTCATAAACATCATGAGTTTTAGTCGACTGCCCTCAGGAAAGTCATTTACAAAATGATTAGCATTTTCATAAAATGCTGTGGGCAGTTGTAGTTTCCTCGTCTCCCCTGCATATTCCTTAAAGGGTTTTTTCCTTCTTCTTAGAGCCCTGCTTAACCATATGTTGTTCAAAGCCATTTAAATATTTAGTGTCATGCATAATCAATAGACATGTGCCCAGAAATAAGATGCATTCTATGCTCAGAACATGAAGGGGTGCAATAGTAAGAAGCTGATATTTGCTCAGAAACAGCGTCATAGCACAACCAGAATTGCCTTTGGAACATCCCACCCACCTTTTTGGAAGGCATGCAGAAAACCTGCTTTTTAAGTGCACTAGGAATCCTTCATCCGCCTACAAGTGCGTGTAGATAAAATAAGTAACCTCCTCTTACAACTTGCTCCTAAACTAGCTCTGCTCAGATTGGTTTCCAAATAACATTTCAGACTAGAAATCTCTTTCAGGAAACCATCTCTCTACCCCAAGGAAAATATAGTGAGCCTCTAACTACAGACAGACAGACAGACACTCACACATGCATGCACACAGGTGTGCACAACAGGGGTTCACAGTACTTCACCGAAGAACTGTCATCCTTCCCTTCTCCCCACCAGTCCTTTGGATCAGGTTAAAAAAGATCGCTTACACTCGCATACAGCTTCTCCCTGCATATGGTCAGGAGCACCCTGACAAAGTTGGCACTTAGGCAACGCTTAGCATGCAAAGGACTGCAGCTGCAGACGGATTACTTTTCCAAGGAACTTCAATGTTAGCCACACAGACCAAAAATTGATAATCGTAAATAAATCTTGCTGAACCACAAAACCATACTTGATATGGATTTAATGAACTGGCCAGACTCAAACATTTCTGCTTGGTAATGTTGAGATACTTTCTCCAAAAGCTATTCTGGAAGCGTTGCAGAAATCAGCCGGCACAAACATTCCATTTAAAGCGTAAATCAAGAATAAGCTTTGCTCTGGCACCACGTCTCACGGAAGACTTGTCCGGGTCTTCCACGTACATCCCCTGCTGACATATGAATCGGTCTTGCGACATCTCAAGCCGCATCACTTGCCCACATTTGTTTCCCAGCCCAGCCCCTCTCCGAGAGCACGCCGGATTTTCAGATCTTTGCAAGTTTCTGCAGTCCCCTCTGCAATCCCCTGCGCTTCGCTACTTGGAGGGGAAACTCCTTGCCCGAAAAGCAGCGCCAGGCAAAGATGCCAAGCCTCGCATCCTTGCGCAAACCAAGGGATGCAGGTGAAAAGGGGAGGAAAGAGCGGGCGGGAGGTCCAGACAGGAAGCATCCGACCGGAGCGCTGCCCGAAGAGGCAGCCCGGGAGTGAGAAGGAAGGGGCGAAGCAGCCGCAGAGAGCGGGAGCGAGAGAGGGAGAGAGAGGGAGGGAAACGTTGTACTTCAACTCACCTTGAGCTGCTGCCAGTCCTCTGGTGCTGATCACACTTGCTATCAAAGTGGCCACATACCAAATCATAGTACTACCGACCAACGAACCGGAGCATCATCCTAGCTGCGAAGCGCCCTTCGTGCCGGAGACCTTTTCATCGCCCAGCCCAGCCCAGCCCAGCCCTGCCCGGGGTGAGTGCCAAAGGCGCGCTGCCTCCCCTTCGCCTCCTCTTCCTTCTCATGCCCTCATCAGCCCCGCTCCTGGCTGCCTCCCCGCCGCGCTCTCCATCCTTCCTCGCCCCGCGCAGCCCGCCTCCCCTCCGCCTCTCCCAGGCACGCAGCACCGACACCTGCGCTGCTTGCGGAAGGCACCACCAGAGAGAGCGGGAGCGAGAGCTCGGGCAAAGTCCTCTCCGGGCGCGCAGCCTAGCCTGGACCATTTGAGCCTCCTCGGCGACGCCCCCGCTGGCCTCCCATTGGGTGGCAGGGAAGGAGCCCCCCCCGGATTGGCTCGAGGAGCGGTTGACGGCGAGGGAGGGCGGGCGGGGAGGGCGGGGGGAGAGCAAGAGGCGCCCCCTCCTTCTCTCCCGCCAAGGTGGGTTGGAGCGTGCAAGGCACAGAGCCGCAGAATCATGCGCAATGCCATGGAGAAGGGACTGGTCCCCCTTCCCCCCCACCGGCGCCTCCCTCCCGCCCGCCCTGCTCACACTGCATGGACAGTTCCCCAAGAGGAGGATGCTCCTGGACCACGGGGGAGAGAGGAGAGGGAGGAGGTGCAGCCGGGCTGGGCGGGGGAGAAGGAGGCAAGCCGGGAGGGCGCAGCGCTCACGGAGGGAGATCTCCGCAGAGCGCCCCGATGCAGCTGGTGTGGAGGGGAGGGGAGGGGAGCAGGAGATGCCCCTTTGCCGATCTCGGAGGCACTCTCCCTCGACTTCACGCGCTTCCCACACTCCCGATGACTCTCCGGTCCCGAGTGGGACGAGACAGCTGTCAGCTTGCGCACCCACTCTCCCTCCTCGCCTTTGCTCTCGCAGCTGGAGCTCAGCGCTTGCCCTCCCCACCGGCCGCTGGCCTGCCTGCCTGCCTGCCTCCTCGCCTTGCCTCCAACGACCACGGTGGGCGAGAGGGCTGACGCGATGCGTGCGAGCGCGCACAGGCGTCCTGGAGGGGGCGCCCCGGAAAGGTGGGATGCTGCCATAAAGCGTAGCCTTGACTTTGAGGGGCCACCTGGCACGTGCACTTGGTGTGGCGACAGACAGGGCTGGAAGGGCACTCTAGGGTCTTGAGGGGACCCGTTCTTCAACACACGCACACACGAAGCGCACCGTCTCGTGGACTGAGCAGAGTGGGAACAAGAAGGCAGACTCCGACCACAGTACAGGATCCTCAAGCGCAGCGCTAGGCTTTCTCCCCCAGGATTTCTAAGGCATTGTGCCGCCGCCTCTGGGAACACCCTTCCGACTGGCTCCACAACCAGCCAGACTGGGGCAACTGGCTCAAGGAGTCGGGAAAGGGGAGCAATTGCTTAGTTGCTGAATTTGTCGATGCTGATTTTATTTATTCGTTCATCCAGTTTTGCTCCCAGGGAGGCACATTTCCCTCTCTCGGGTTCCAAGTCGATGTGGGCAGCTTTGCATGCAGGGCACTTTGATTTGGCATTGTGTGGAGACACAACTTCTGGAGTTCTGCCTCAGGCAGCAAAATATCTGGCTGGCTGATCTAGGAAGAGCCCATCTTCAGTGACCGATGCGTGCAGAAGGTCCCGGGCTGGCATCTCCAGGTAGGGCATAGAAAACTTTGTCCTGACACCCTTGGGAGATGCTGCCAGTCCGTGCTGCCAGTACTGGCCTAGGTGAACAAATGGTTTGAATCAGTGAAAGGCAGCTTCCTGCATTCCTAGGACTTAGCGACCTCAGTTGACAGAGCTTCAGGACATGAGGTACATATAGGTAAATGAGTCCCGCAATTGCTCTGTGTTGGAAGGAAGGCACTGTAAAAGGAGACATCCTTCAGTAGTAAAGAACTGGCACAGTTTCAGGCACAGGGATGTTGAACCAGCCCGTGCCTCTTCCAATCCCTGACAGGCTCCAACCACATGGAGCTCGTACAAACCTCCCCATGGCATGTGGGAAACCCTTGCAGCAGGGGGCCTCACCCAGCTGCTGGCGCTGAGCCAAAGCAGGCGCTCAGGTCAGCCAACACAGGGAGCTCCAAGTCACTCCCCCAACCCTAAGTTTGCTTGCAGGGCTAAGCGGGGCCGAAGACATTCCCTTGGTGAAATAGGAAAGGGAAGGCAGGGTTTAGCTGAGAGACAGCACGCTCTTTGGCACAAGCCACCTCGGAGCCTAAATCCCTTGAGAGGATGGTAGAAAGGGAAAGCCTCATAGTCCCTTAATTTGGCATTGCTCATGTGTGTGCATGTTTGAATGCCTGGCAAAGGATTTAGAATGAAAGAAGCAGAAGAGAAGGCTCCCGTAGCAAGAAGAGCTACTTGGAAAAGGGAGTTTGGGCCAGAGAAGCTTTTGCCATAACAGCTTGTTTGCAACAGGCGAGGGAGGGACTTGGAGGGAAAAGCTATCACCCGCTACTGGGCCTGATGGCAATATGCTGTCCCCTGTATCAGAGGCAGGTTGCTTTGCTGGGAAACATGAGTGTGAGTTTCCCATAGGTATCTCGTTAGCCCCTGTGCAAACCAAATGCTGGACTAGGTGACCCCTGGCAGGATCCTGCAGGGCTCTTATGTTCTTACCTTCTAAAACCTTCCTCCCCCAACCCTGAGCACCAGCCATGCTGTTAATAGCTCCAGAAAGAAAGGCCCCTTTTCTGCCAGTGGGAGCTTATTTTCAGCAGCTAATAGCTAGGAAGTTCTTCTGGGTGAGACAGCCTATAGGGAGGAAAAGTTTAAACTCTCACTCCCAGCAGACTCCAGTCCCAACCAAAATCACCCCCCACGGTACTTGCTATTAAAGAAAAACTGGACAGAGTTGATAATGATACATTTATCATGACATCAAGTTTGGCCTTTAAATAGCAGAGGCGAGGAGCAGAGTTTGCAGTTTGATGCGAACTAAATTTTAATAATTTAGATTTTCTGCTTTCACGTCGAGCCTCGTCCCCTAACAGAAGATACGTCAAAAAGTCAATTAAGGGTGCAATCCTGTGCATTTTTACACAGAAAGGAGTCTTAAAATTCCCCAAATTCCACAGCCAACATGGCTGGCTGGGGGATGCTGGGAGTTCTACAACTTTCTAAGCGTACATCAGACTGCACCTGGAAGGATCATCTGAGCAGCCAAGAAGCTGCTGAACTCCAGAGTTATCAGCACAGAATCTGGCTGGAAATTTAATCAGACCTGTGAGTCTTCGATGCCCATTTGCAAATAGGAAGCTGCAAGCTCTCCTGCTGTCAGAACTTGAATCTGTATAGCCAGGGCGTTGTCACTGACTATCAGCGGCTCTCCAGGGTTTCTGGATGGAATATTTCGAGCCCTGGCTGGAGATGACAAAGATCAAACGTGGAACCTCCTACAAGCAAAGCTGCTACAGACCTTCACCTGTGACAATCCAAATCCCACATGGAGTGACCTTGAATTATATGACCTGGACAAAGCCAGGTATGAGAGCAGTTGGGCACCTGCAGTTCCAGGATAACTTTGCATTCAAGAGCTGAGATAAACATCTCCCTTTGGCCAGTGGGCAAGGCAACACTGATTTGCATGGCCAGAATTGTGTGTGTGTGTGTGTGTGTGTGTGTGTGTGTGTGTAACACGTACATGTAAGAAAGGCAGAGGAGGAAGATTCATCATGTCAGTGATGATTCAACAAATGGTGTGCGCGCGTCTGATTAGAATCAGATGCCAATGTGCAAATTTATCATTTTACAGGACAGAGACAAATCATGCATGCAAATGAGCTGCAACGTCATGCAATGGGCTAGAAATGCTGTTTTTAAATGGTTTTTGGAAGATGAACAAATGAAGCAAGGCACAGAAGATGACTCTCCTCTTGATTGCCATTTGGCTTAAGGTTGGCCCTGACTTCAAAGGGTGCTCCATCACCTTGGAGTGGAACAATGATCCAAATCCATTCTTAGACATGGTCACATCAAAACACAGAGAAAGGTGGCCTCAAGGGACAACTGCTTCCTATTGTCAACCCAGCCCCCTTTTCTAGTAGTGTAGGTTAAAGCTGGATATAGCCATGTTCCACATGCTAGAGAATGACCTTGCTACTGCCATGGCTAAGTAAAAGGATAGGGAAGGGAAAATTAGGCTGGTGGATCACATGCCTGACTGAGCAAACGAACATGGGAAGAATTCATTTCTAGCCTGGATTACAAATTGAGCTGGAAGGAAACTTGGAGGTACTATAATGCTCCCCTCCTTTGAAGTTCATATTCTGAGCCATGGGAATATGAAGCAGCAGTAACACTGCAGGAATCAAAGAAGGATCCATAAAAGGGGACTGACTCTGAACTGCACCTGAACAAGGGCAGGAAATAAAGACTACCACAGCAGAACAACTGAGCTTCAATAAGCTTGCATGTGATTCACAACCTGCTTGGTGATTGTAGGAGTTTATTTGCCTTCCAGTGATGCAGCTCAGAAAGTTTTGACCCTGGGCACAAAGGTCTTAGGGGGCCTCCCTCTTGATAGCCACAAGTGTTTCATTTATGTAGCATACAACTCAGATTCCTGTTCTATCTTCCCCTCAGCATCCACACCACCACTGTCCAATGCTGAACAAGTGCTTGTACATTCCTGATACATCAGAGCAAAACATCCAAAATGACCCAGCCTATATGCTGACATAAGAAGGCATGCCAAACAATGCATCCTATAGTATATGCCAAGACATGGAAAGAGATCTTCTGAGCATATGCAGTTTTGCATTTCAGATTTGATTAAATCATAGCAATAATAAATGTGAATCTGACACTGAACTTAGGTCTTCTCTGAGGCAGAATCCTTGTCCTTCACAGGTGCTGCTCCCATGGCAGTCACTCCAAGGGTCTGGGCGACTTCTGGCCTGCTGGCCAATGCTGCTGGTGGGTGGTCCTTGGTCTTCCAGCTCTTCTTCCTCTAGGTGTCCTCCAGCAGGGTCACAATGACACATCAAGCAAGCATCAAGGCTTTATCTTAGCAGCCTGCATATTGCCTCCTCCCCTTCTGATGATGAATGGTTTATCACTGACTAACTGTCACAGCTGGTTTGAAGGAGGAATCTATTTTTGGTCCTCAAGTACCAGTCAGGACAATCCACCTATGAGCTGGCAGGATTCATTTAAGGAGGAGAACATGGTAATACAATGATGTGGCGACTCATGCAGTCGA